CGTTTGTCTCTGACCACATCGTCTATGTGGTAGACACTGGCTGCCCACACAACACCTTTCCCTACATGGCTTCCCTACTTTTGTTCTGGTGGCTCTCAGGGAAGCTAGGCCCTCCCCAAGTCCGGGAAATGAACCACGATTGGTCCACGTCTAATGCAGCAAGCCCATTCCCACTTGCCGCTAATTGGTTTAGGGATGGCCCTGTGCCCCATTTCTGCTAATCAACACTCATGAGTTCATTTCATGGGGAGCTTCTGGAAAAAAATGTACTCCTTGATAAAAGGATGGCAAGTTCAGGCCGGGCACGGTGGCTCACGCCTGTAATCCCAGCACTTTGGGAGGCCGAGGCGGGCGGATCATGAGGTCAGGAGATCGAGACCATCCTGGCTAACACGGTGAAACCCCATCTCTACTAAAAATACAAAAAAATTAGCTGGCTGTGGTGGCGGGCGCCTGTAGTCCCAGCTACTCTGGGGGTTGAGGCAGGAGAATGGCGTGAACCCGGGAGGCGGAGCTTTCAGTGATCCGAGATCGCACCACTGTACTCCAGCCTGGGCACAGAGCGAGACTCCGTCTCAAAAAAAAAAAAAAGAGGCCGGACACGGTGGCTCAGGCCTGTAATCCCAGCACTTTGGGAGGCCGAGGCGGGCGTATCACGAGGTCAGGAGATGGAGACCATCCTGGCCAACACGGTGAAAAATAACAGACATTTACGCTTAGTCACTGGTTCTGATTTGAAATAGTATTTTGCAGTTTAGCCTGGGGTGGTGGCGGGCACCTATAGTCCCAGCTTCTTGGGAGGCTGAGGCAGGAGAATGGCGTGAACCCGGGAGGCAGAGCTTGCAGTGAGCCAAGATCGCGCCACTGCACTCCTGCCTGGGCGATGAGCAAGACTCCATCTCCAAAAAAAAAAAATGGAGGATGGCACGTTCTGGACTCACTGCAAGCTCCGCCTCCCAGGTTCATGCCATTCTCCTGCCTCGGCCTCCCGAGTAGCTGGGACTACAGGTACCTGCCATCACGCCTGGCTAGTTTTTTGTATTTTTAGTAGAGACAGGGTTTCACTGTGTTAGCCAGGATGGTCTCGATCTCCTGACTTCATGATCCCCCGCCTCGGCCTCCCAAAGTGCTGGGATTACAGGTGTGAGCCACCGCACCCAGCCTATATCTTTTTACTGGCTTAAACATGGCAGAGGAAGATATGATGCCTAACACTGTGGCAATCGCCTTGACAGGCCCAAGGATACTGCAGGATGAAAAGGTGGAGACCTGGTGCTTTCACACTGCACTCATTCTGAAACCCTCTGCCAGGGCGGGGTGGGGTGTGTGCGTGTGTGAGATCGTTAAATGTCTCTGCCACGTATGCCATTGTTGGCTCAGTGTGCTGCCACCTGCAGCCAAGCACACTCTTAGCTGACACACCCTGCCTACCTCCTCCTGCTCTCCCACTCTCCCTTCCCACAAGCCCTCTCTCCCCTGGATGCCTAACTCCTACTCATCCTTAAGCTTCAGCAGAGACATGACTTCTTCCAGACACAGTCCTTTATCCTCCAAGACTGGGCCGAGTGCCTCTCCTGTAGCACCCTGTACCTACTCCTACAGGAGCCTTTCTGATCACCAGACCTAATTCCCATAATGCATTTCTCCCTTCGGTCTGGTTACTTTATTGCTGCCTTATTTAAAGTTGCTTTTTAAAAATATCTGTAGGCTGGGCGCAGTGGCTCACACCTGTAATCCCACCACTTTGGGAGGCCGAGGCAGGTGCATCACCTGAGATCAGGAGTTCGAGGCCAGCCTGGGCAACATGGTGAAACTAAATCTCTCTAAAAATCTCTACTAAAAATACGAAAATTAGCCAGGTGTGGTGGTGGGCGCCTGTAATCCCAACTACTTGGGAGGCTGAGGCATGAGAATCACTTGAACCTGGGAGGTGGAGGTTCTAGTGAGCTGAGATTGTGCTATTGTACTCCAGCCTGGGCAACGAGCAAAACTCCATCTCAAAAAACAAACAAACAAACAAACAAACAAAAAACATCTGTAGAGGGAAGTTTTATGGAAGTATTACTGCAAAGCTACAGAATACATTTTTTTATTAGCCTAAGCCAGGGCTCAGGAAGAAGTGGGAAGAAGAGTCCCTTATAGTAGCTGATAGGTTCCCTTTTAGCCTTTGATTCAACCATAACTCAGGGTTGACCTTTTCATGACAAATCCCTAGCCGGAGGACAAGTGTTGAAGTCCTACGGAATGCTGGAAGAAACTGGGCAAGTGTCTAATTGCAAAGTCACACTGCTGGGAAAGTGGAACCTGTATCTGTCTGACTTCAGAGTGTACAGATTTGACTTATGTAATTATAGAGGTGAAGGTTGGAGCAAAGTAAGGGCAAAATGCAGGGACATATATTCTCATTCAATATTAAGTGGGACTTTTTGACCATGATCATTAGTCAAAACTGGAATGGGGCCAGGCACAGTGGCTCACACCTATAATCCCAGCACTTTGGGAGGCCAAGGCGGGAGAATCACTTGAGCCCAGGAGCTCAAAGCTAGTCTGGGCAACGTAGGGAGACCCCATCTCTGCCAAAAAAAAAAAAAAAAACAAAACCCAAAAAAAATCAGCTGGATGTAGTGGCATGCACCTGTAGTTCAGGTTACTTAGGAGGCTGAGATGGGAGGATCACTTGAACCTGGGAGATTGAGGCTGCAGTGAGCTATCATCACACCACTGCACTCCAGTCTGGGCAACAGAGTAAGACCCTGGTTTTGGTTTTGTTTTGTCTCAAAACAAAACTAAAAACTGGAATGGGCTGCCTATTTTCACTGGGAAGGTTCACGTAGAAGTTGGATTATCATTTTTTTTCAGGGATATTATGGAGGGGAATCCCCAGCTGCCTCAGAGTTGGTCTAGATGCCCTTTAAATGCCCCTTCCAGTCCTAGAATTTTGTAATATACAATTCTAAGATTCTGTGATTTGATGTCTCCTGGGAAATCCACACGCAGCAGTCAGAGACCCTGCCACCTGAGGGCAGTGTTATCACATTTGGTTCAATTGCATAGAAGGAACCAAAGCTCCCCCCAGGGCTCCAACTAGAGAACACCCAGTTTATTTTTTTTGAGATAGGGTCTCGCTTTGTCACCCAGGTAGGAGTGCAGTGATGCAATCAGCGCTCACTGCAGCTTCGACCTCCTGGGCTCAAGTGATCCTCCCTCTTCAGGCTCCCAAGTAACCGAGACTACAGGCGTGCACCACCATCGTTGGCTAATTTTTTACATGTTTTGTAGAGACAGGATCTCGATATGTTGCCCAGGTTGGTCTTCAATTCCTGGCCTCAAGTGATCCTCCTGCCTCGGCCTCCCAAAGTTCTGGAATCACAGGCATGAACCACCTTGCCCAGCCAAGAGTGCCAAGTTCAAAACCATCACGGGGTGATGTGCCCTTGTGTGAAGGTAGAGAGGGACCCACCGAAGAAGTAGTGTTCCCCTCTCCACCACCCCACACAGTGATTTCTGCCTGCCAACGGATTGGAGAGAGGTCAGAATGCTGGAAGACACACCATTCCCAGAGAGCCCGTGTGTTCTGAGGGCTGGGAACTGGCAGGGAGCCCTCCCTCATGGCGCTGCCCCCACAGCAGCTCTCCAAAGACTAGGAGGGCAAGGAAAGGAAAGGGTCGAGGAGTATTCGATCACAATAGAAACCTTGCCACACGAGGGAAAGTTGACGGACCCAGGAATGTTCAGCCTAGAGAAGAGAAAACTTGTTGGGACCTATCTTGAGAACTGACTTCCATGAAGGTTGTTCTGTAGGGCTTTGGGTAGAAACACCAGGCCAGTGGCTGGGGCCAGCGGCTCATGGCTATAATCCCAGCACTTTGGGCAGCTGAGGTGGAGGGATCACCTGAGATCGGGAGTTTGAGTCCAGCCTGGCCAACATGGTGAAACCCCATCTCTACTAACAATACAAAAATCTTCTGGGTGTGGCGGCACGTGCCTGCAATCCCAGCTACTTGGGAGGCTGAGACAGGAGAATTGCTTGAACCCGGGAGGCGGAGGTTGCAGTGAGCCGAGATTGTGCCATTGCACTCCAGCCTGGGTGACAGAGTGAGGCTCTGTCTCAAAAAAATAAAAAAAAGAAAGAAATAGCAGGTCAGCATGCAGATGCCACCGGGGCACAGGTCTCATCTGGATTGAAGGAAGAACTTTCTGGCAGTGTCAGGAAGGACACTACCCTGGGAAGCAGCTCATTCTTTCATTTCCTCTCTATGTGTTTACTGTGTGCACACTTCAGCCCTGGCAGTCTCTAGTTGCTGAGGATACAGTAGTGAACAAAATGGCTAACTGCCTGCCCTCACGGAGCTGACCCACTGGTGTCTGGACATCCTGGGAGATGAGATGGAACGTGCAGGGGCGATGTGGAGCATTAGCCTGGATGGACTTGACCTGCTCCAGAGATTCCGTAACTTTCTTGGCTTTAAGAAACCTAGTTTGTTTTCATTTCTCTGATACAGACTTTCAAAATTTGGAAAGAACTTCACCAAGACTGTATTGTTTTCATGGTTTCCAGTAGAAACAAGCCTGTGAATTAGTATATAGGGATGCAACAAAACTTTTTTATGTGGCAGTGGTAAAAATTGCCTTTGGATAAGTCTTAGGAAAATAAAATTTCTCCATTTAAAAAGAAGCTCCAAGTCTAGTGTAGTGGCTCACACCTGTAATCCTAACATTTTAGGAGGCTGAGGTGGGAGGATTGCTTGAGCCTAAGAATTCAAGACCTGCCAGGGCAACATAGTGAGAACCCATCTCTAGAAAAATAAAAATTAGCCAGGCAGAGCGACACGTCGGTACTGCTACTGTACTGGACTGGAGGCAGAGGCAGGAAGATTGCCTGTACCCAGGAGTTCAAGGCTGCAGTGAGCCATGATTGTGCCACTGCACGCCAGCCCAGGCCACAGAGCAAGACTCTTTGTCTAAAAAAGCAAAGAAGCCCCAGTTGGTCTATTTTTTTTTAATGTTTCTTTTATTTAAGCTATATTGGGACATTAACATTGTCAACATGAGGAATTCTTTGTAGAGAACAGCTGGGTCACAGACATTACATATTCCGTCCTTGACATGAACATGTAGGAACTCAACTGAAACAGACCCATCGTTTCTGTCATCCAAATGCTTACTGCCGTCCCAGAGAAGCCCCGCTCATTTTCATTTTTCTAATGCCTGGTATTTACGTTCCCAAATTCATTCTCCACCATAGCACTCTTTATTCTTCACCTCCTGTCTCTTCCTGGCTTGCACTTTCTTTTGCATAGTAAACATTCTCAGGACAGATCCAGTTTTCCATTTTCGTATTTTCTCCCTCTCAATGAACCGCAGTTGAGATCTGTATTACCCTGGAAAAAGAGAGAAAGACAGATAGTGAGCAAGGTGAGCAAGTCCATGTGGGTCAGAGCTGGGAACTCTGACATCTTTGCTCCTCTGACATCAGCTCCCTGAGATGCCTAGGAAGCTTCTGCAAAGGCTTCCTTCCTAGTAATGGATACTGTTGAGTCATACCTAGCTTGTTCTGCATGAAGTTCTGAGAGTTAAGAGACACATTCTTTGGGCTTAATGTACCCCTACAAGTCATTGGGTGGGCCCAGAGTGCAGTGCCCTGGGATACAGAGCTCTCCCTGAGAGCCTGCCTGTGATGTGTCACAAGGGGTTTTGCTATTGTGATGTGACCATCTTCCAAAGAAAGAAAAGCTACTGCACATCACATTCCCACAAATGGATTTTTAAAATTAGTAAGGTTTCCTTATGAAGTTCATGGAATATTTGCACCCAGTAGAGCCATTCACAGTCTCACCCCTGCCTACCCTACCCTGCTAGCTTCATCCCCCCACCGCGCTGCAGGTCTCTGGCCTCATCCTGAGCCCATCTGCTCCAGCCAGCCTGTGCCCTTATGTACCTCCCACCTTTGCACTTTTGTGTGTGTTGGGCCTTCTATCTGGAATTCCCTTCTCTCCTCTGCCTGGTGAAGGATCGGTTTTATTTATTCTCTTACTTTTCTGTTAAAATATTTTATTTTTATGTTTTTAATTTTTTTCCTTTTCAGTTTTAATTTTTTTTTTTTTTAATTTTTCTGGAGACAGAGTCTCACTGCAACCTCTGCCTCCCAGGTTCAAGCAATTCTCCTGCCTCAACCTCCTGAGTAGCTGGGATTACGGGGACCTGCCTTCATGCCTGGCTGATTAAATAAAAACAAAATGGACAGATCAGGACATGGAGAGTAGACCCCAGAGGCACAGCCTCATCACCTCTGGTGGCAGGATGGCAGCCTGATGGCATGGAAGTAGATCCTTGCTGTGACAGAGCAATTGTACCAGGTCCAGCCAAGCCAGGGCAGGGGACCTCCTTTAAAGGATGTCTAATCCTGGAGCCTAAGACTCCTAGGGGAAGGAGCTGAACTGCCTCCTGACTCTTGGTGTGCAGGAAGCCTCATAGAGTAGTCCCCACCTAGGTCAGAGCTCACTGGGAAGGATCCCTTTCAGGTGTTTGCCCTGAAAGGAGATGGTTACACATTAATGCAGAGACAAGCTTCTGATTTCCTTAACTTCCTGAGCTAACCATTATTTCAGGGTTAGAGAATTCAGAAAAAGATTCTGTGCCCCATATTTTATCTCCTCCCTAAGCAAATGGTCAGATAAAGCTCAACTTCACATCAAAGGTCAATGAGGTTATTGCTTTTGGCCAAAACCCAAACTAACCACCATTACTGAAAGATAGCGAATTGTGACTGAGCAGGGAACCTTAACCTCCTCACTAGGGCTGATTCAACAAGATGTTGGTTCAGGGAGGCCAGATATAATTCCCAGAAGCCATGGAGGGTGGTGCTTAGGGTTCAGCCCACCCCACCTCCCAAAGTGAACCAAGTCTTTGATTTTTTGCTGCCCTGGTTAATCCCACACAGATGGCAACCATGTCAATCTCCACAGTAACTTCAAATAAAAGATAACTTGCCTTTTCATAGCACAGGGTGTGTGTGACCATGAGGAAATCACCGAACTTCTCCAAGCTCATTTTCCTCACCTGACAAATGGGGGTAGTTATACCTACCTTGTAGGGTAGAAAAGAGAGTGAAAAGCATTTTCCATGCACTTAGCCACCACCACGTTCATTTTTTACATTTTTTTTTGGTAGAGATAGGGCCTTGCTCTGTTGCCCAGGCTGGTCTCAAACTTCTGGCCTCAAGTGATCCTCCCACCTTGGCCTCCCAAAGTGTTGGGATTAGAGGCGTGAGACACTGCGCCCAGCCCTTTGAGTTTCCTTTACTTTCCTAGCACTTGGCTCTTGTTCAAGGAGAAACCTCCACACCCTGGCTGCGTGTATCTGGGTGGTTCTCAAACTCAGTCACACATCTGAGTCACCTGGAGGGCTTGCTAAATCACAGATGCTGGGCGCACCCCCAGAGCTCCTGATGCAGTAGGTCTGGACCCAGGCCTAAGAATAGGCGTTTCTAAGAATGTCCTAGGTGACACTGATGCTGCTGGTCCCGGGACCACGTTTTGGGATCCACTCTTCCAGAATCACATTCTGTGCCTTACTCCTCACTTTCTTTTTGCTTCTGTCCATGGGAAAAGGAGTGATTGATCTTGTTTTTGGAATAAGGAAGGAACCAGGAAGGCAGAGCTGAGCCCCACCTAATCTCTCCTTTTAGATCTACTGCCAGGGATGCTGGGTTTTGATCGTTCCTCTCCTGGGAATAGTGGCTGCTCCCCAGGGATTAAGCCTGCATTTGTTCAGTTCTGCAGTTATCTTTTTTTTTTTTTTTTTTTTTGAGACAGAGTCTTGCTCTGTCGCACCCAGGCTGGAGTGCAGTGGCGCGATGTCGGCTCACTGCAACCTGTGCCTCCTAGGTTCAAGCAATTCTAGTTCCTCAGCCTCCCGAGCAGCTGGGATTACAGGCGTGCGCCACCACGCCTGGCAAATTTTGTATTTTTAGTAGAGTTGGAATTTCAGGTATCTTTAATTTTGAGGCAAAGTACGAGGATGCCTATGGTGGACGCACATTAAAGCCACATCCTCAATCTAGAATTATAGCATAGTAAAACTGGTATTTGGGCCAGGCGTGGTGGCTCATGCCTGTAATCCCAGCACTTTGGGAGGCCAAGGTGGGTGGATCATGAGGTCAAGAGATTGAGACCATCCTGGCCAACATGGTGAAACCTTGTCTCTACTAAAAATACAAAAATTCGCTGGGCATTGTGATGTTCCCCTGTAGTCCTAGCTACTCGGGACGCTGAGGCAGGAGAATCGCTTGAACCTGGGAGGCGGAGGTTGCAGTGAGCCGAAATCGCACCACTGCACTCCAGCCTGGTGACAGAGCGAGACTCCCTCTCAAATAAATAAACAAATAAATAAAACTGGTATTTTGACTTTTTTTTTTGTTTGAGATGGGACCTCGCTCTGTTGCCCAGGCTGGAATGCAGTGGTATGATCATAGATCATTGTAACCTCAGACTCTTGGGCTCAAGGGATCCTCCTGTCTCAGCCTCCCGAGTAACTGGGACTACAGGTGTGCACCACCATGCCTGGCTAATTTTTTTTACTTTTGTAGAGGCAGGGTTTCACTGTGTTGCCCAGGCCGGTCTTGAACTCCCAGATTTAAACCATCTTCCCACCTCAGCCTCCGAAAGTACTAGGATTTACAGGCACAAGCCACTGCGCCCAGCCTATTTTAACTTTTATATATTTATCTCCAATATTTTTCATCCTTGATTAGTTCTGAATTAAGGGGAATAAAGACTACTTTCCATTGTTTCCTCAAAATCCTACCTGCACTCGGTGTTCGAGAAATGGCAACTGTGATGATAATTATCATTTTCTTAGCATTAGAGACCTGAACTCAACCAGGATTGATGAAATATCCAGTGAAGAATGATATTGTGGGGAACATGAAAGATGAACACACATTGCCATAAGCTTGTGGATGTCCCAGTGACTGTGTACTAAGCACTAGGTACCAAGGCTAGCGTCAAGTGGCATCACACTTGGGAACCGCCCTTCCATGCAGATGGGGGAACATCAGGTCGGCCAGCACCTGTGATACAGGTGAACAACGCCCCACCCGAGGGCTGTGAGCATCTAAAGGGGTTTTGCAGCTAAAGAGGGAGGGGAAGAGCTTTGTGCTTCCTGTTGCATGAGACTGGGTGTGACAAAGACTAGACCTGGGGAGCAGGGGGAATATGGCTGGGTCACATAGTACCACTGCTAGGAGCAAAGCCAGTGCAGGGAAGGAGCGCTCTGAGCGAGGTCGTCCAGAGCAGAGTCCACACCTACCGGCTGTGGCCTAGGACACGGAGGGCCTCACTCCTCAGAAAGGGTTTTCGAGGTGCCTGTCTTAGACACCTGGATGATCTCCACAGAGGTGATGCCCTTGCCGGCCACGCGGTGTCTGGTGCGCAGCTTGTTTAGGGCGGTCTCTGCCATGCCCGCTCGCTCCTCAGCGTCATCCAGCTCGTGCACTGTCTTCCTGTATCGAGCCAGGGTCTGGTTGGCCTGGTCCTCCTGTGACAAAGGCACGGCAGGAAACGGGGCATAAACATGGCTGGTTCTGGTTAAATGTGCATTTTTTTTTTTTTTGAGAGACAGTCTCGCTCTGTCGCCCAGGCTGGAGTGCAGGGGCACGATCTTGGCTCACTGCAACCTCCACCTCCAGGGTTCAAGCGATTCTCCTGCCTCAGCCTCCCAAGTAGCTGGGGTTAAGGTGCCCCCCACCATGCCTGACTAAATTTTGTATTTTTAGTAGAGATGGGTTTCACCATTTTGGCCAGGCTGGTCTCGAACTCCTGATCTCAGGGGATCCACCCACCTCAACCTTCCAAAGCGCTGGGATTACAGGCATGAGCCACCACCATGCCTGGCCTCTTTACAAGTTCTTATCTCTGGTGTGTAGTGTCTGGTTGCCCCTCCCACTGGATTCCAAGGAGGAGACGCCATGGACATGAGCCTCACAGAATCATCTTAGGGCCTATGCTTGCTTCTTTCCCTGTGGTTAATTCCCAGAAAGGCTGGGGACCCGCACTGAGAAAACAAGCATGAGGGAAGGAGGAGCAGGGAGGCGCATAGGCACCCACCGCCTCCTCGATCTGCCTCTTGTAGATCTTCAGCTTGTTCTGTAGCTTCTCCACCAGCTCCTGCATGCGCTGGTTGGTCTTGTTGTCCTCCTCTGTCTGGAAGATCAGCTCTTTGAGGCGACGCTCGTTCTTACGCAGCGTCTTGACCGTCTCCGCGTGCTGTTTCTGTTCCCCGTCCAGCTCTGTCTCTAGTTCCTTGATCTGTGGGAGGAAGAGAGGAATGCAGCTGAGCGAACACATGTGTTTTGTTTTTTGTTTTCTTGACGGGGTCCCGCTCTGTTGCCCAGGCTGGAGGGCAGTGGCGTGATCATGGCTTACTGCAGCCTTGACCTCCTGCGCTCAAGCGATCCTCCTGCCTCAGCCTCCTGGAACGCATGGTTTTGAGCTTCAGAGCTCAGTGGCCTCAGACAGGGGCCTTGTGGCTGCAGTATCCGCCTCCTGCCCAGAGGTGAGGGGATGGACCCTGGACAGGAGAGTCGGGTGGGCTCTGCCTTTTACAGGCCATGCTGTGGTTGTCAAACACTTTCTCTTGAGCCTCAAATTCCCTCCTCTGGAAAATGGGGGTGTCAGGGAGTCAGACAAAATGATAGAACTTTCCGGGCCCTTCCAGCTCTGGCATTTCATGGGGCAAAGACTAAGCCTTGTTTTCTTTCAGTGAGTAAAAAAAGGCAAGGAGAATATTGGGGATTACTCTGCTCGAGGCTAAGGACATTCCGGGGAGGAAGGTGACAGGCAGGGAAGGAGGAGAGGAGAACTTGAGAGAAATTAGAACTCTTTTCTCAATTTCCTTTTCTCTTTCTTACCCTCCCTCCCTTCTTTCTTTCTTTCCTTCTTTTCTCTTTTTTTCTGAGACAGGGTCTGGCTCTGTCACCCAGGCTGAAGTGCAGTAGTGCTGTCATAGCTCACTGTAGCCTCAATCTCCTGGGCTCAAGCTAGCCTCCCAACTCAGCCTCCTGAGTAGCTGGGACTACAGGCATGTGCCACTACACCCAGCTAATTTAACTTTTTTTTTTTTTTTTTTTTTTTTTTGTAGAGATAGAGGGCTCATTATGTTGCCTCAGCTGGTCTCAAACTCCTGGCCTCAAGTGATCCTCCCGCCTCAGCCTCCTAAAATATTAGGATTACAGGCGTGAGCCGCTGCACCTGGTCCTTTCAATTTCCTCTTCTTTCCTAGCACTTGCATAACCCGATTCTTCATCAAACCCAGGACATGTTTTTTGGCAAAAGACAGGCATCTCACACACACACCCCCCACCCCACCAGATCCCCATTCCTCCCTTAGCTGAGCCCTGCATCGCCCTCACCCTGGCCTCCAGCTTCATGATTGTGCGCTTCCCGCCTTTCAGAGCCAGCTGCTCGGCCTCCTCCATCTTGGCCTGCAGGTCTTTGATGGTGACCTCGTAGTTCTTCTTGATCTTCTCCAGGTGCATGCAGTGGTCCTGCTCTTGCCGGAGTTCTTCTGCCATGCGGGTGGCCTGCAAGTGGGGAGAAGAGCAGGAGTTGGAGCTGGGTGCTACCCAGGCTCGTAGCTCCTTTGAGAGATGTGAGAACTTGTCTCCCGGTCTCTAGGAAACCAACTGGTTGACAGGGGGAGCCCCGCTGACATGCCGCTGGGGTTTGGTGGAAGGGGTGCCCTATGCTCCCCTTTGCCCCCGAGAGGGGAGGGGGAGCCAAACTTATGCCTCCCATCTTCACGGACTCCCACCAGCCGGGCACACTCAAGCCAAACCCTACTGACTGCCCTCTCCATGAGGGGCACAGCATGGAGGGTGGGAAAAGCACAGCCTCTGGAGTTGGAAGACCCAGGACTGTGTCCAGCCCTGAGTGACCTTCAGCATGTTGCTTGTCCCCTCTCAGTCTCTTTCTCCTTACATTCATTCCACAGATGTTCATGAGGGTCTATGGTGGGCCAGGCATGGGCCTGTGCTCTTGGGAGGTAGCAACAAGTAAGACCAGCAATGTTCCTGAACTCCTGGGATTTCCATCAAGTGAGAGGAGCCTGATGATGAGAATCTGTATTCCTTCATCTTCCAAGTAGGGAGTAAACAGAACCCACCACTCGAGGCTGGTGTGAACACCCGAAGGGATACTGGGCTGAGAGCACTTGGGGGCACATCCTGCCAACGTCCTCCTCTGCGTCCCTGGGCTCATCTCTCTTCCTTTTACTAGCCCTTCCCTCAAGGCTGTTTGATTTTATTGTTTTTGTTATTATTTCATGTTTTTTTTTTTTTTTGAGACGGAGTCTCGCTCTGTTGCCCTGGCTGGAGTGCAGTGGCTGGATCTCAGCTCACTGCAAGCTCCACCTCCCGGGTTTACGCCATTCTCCTGCCTCAGCCTCCCGAATAGCTGGGACTACAGGCGCCCGCCACCTCGCCCGGCTAGTTTTTTGTATTTTTTTTTTTTAGTAGAGACGGGGTTTCACCGTGTTAGCCAGGATGGTCTTGATCTCCTGACCTCGTGATCCGCCCGCCTCGGCCTCCCAGAGTGCTGGGATTACAGGCTTGAGCCACCGCGCCCGGCCTATTTCATATTTTGAGACAAGGTCTTGTTCTGTCACCCAGGCTGCAGTGCAGTGGTGGGATCATGACTCACGGCAACCTCAAACTCCTGGGTTCAGGTGATCCTCCCATCTCAGCCTTGTGAGTAGTTGAGACTACAGGCACATGCCACGATGCCGGGCTAATTTTTAACATTTTTAGTAGTTGCTATATTGCCCAGGCTGGTCTTGAACTCCTGGCCTCAAGCAATCCTGCTGCCTTGGCCTCCCAAAGTGCTGGGATTACAAGTGTGAGCCACCATGCCTAGCCCAAGGCTGTTTTAATGCATCCCATTGCCAAAAAGCCTGTCCAGATGAACCCACTTTGATGGCTTCTTTGATGCAAGACACAGGGCGTTGTGCTATAATCTTTCACATGATCACCTAGAGCTTGTAAATCTTTCTTACTTTCATGTGTGTGGCTTTTTAGAAAAGCCTTGGGCTCCTCCAGAGCAGGGCCACATTCTCCCTGGCAGGGAACCACGCTTGGGTCCACAGTGGCCCACGATGGCAGGAGTGGCCTTCCCGCCCAGACAGCCTGGTCCTCAGCAGGCACCGAAACCCTGCCTGCCAGCAGCAAGGGGCACACGCACTTACGTCCGTCATGGCCTTCTTGGCCTTCTCGTCGGCCGAGCGGAACTCACTGATGAGCTCCTCGTGCTCGTTGGAGATGCGTTGGACATCTGACTCCAGCTTGCGTTTGACCACGAGGAGGCTCTGGTTCTGGAGGAAGAAATGGAGATCTCACCATGAGCCAGGAGTCTGCATGGGCCTTCCTGTGTCCAGGAAAGAACACAACCTCTGCCAGACATGCTTGCCCAACCCCAACAGGAAATGGCCCTGGGCCCTCTGCGTGGGGTATGGGTCCCTCTCCTGCATTCTTATTTTATTTTATTTTAGGCAGGATCTTGCTGTGTCACTCAGGCTGGATTGTGCAGTCATGCAATCACAGCTCACTGCAGCCTCAACCTCTTAGGCTCAAGCAATCCTCCCACCTCAGCCTTCCAAGTACCTGGGACTACAGATGAGCACCACTACGCCCAACTAATTTTTCATGTTTTTAGAGACAGGGTCTGGCTATGTTGCCTAGGTTGGTCTTGAATTCTTGACCTCAAGCAATCCTCCCACCTCTGCCTCCCATAGTGCTGGGATTACAGACGTGAGCCACTGTGCCTGGCCAAGATTATATATTTTATTTTATTTTTATTTTTGAGTCAGAGTCTTACTGTGTCGCCCAGGCTGGAGTGCAGTAGCATGATCTTGGCTCACTGCAACCTCGACCTCCAGGGTTCAAGTGATTCTTGTGCCTCAGCTTCCCAAGTAGCAGCTAAGATTATGGCATGCATGACTACGCCTGGCTAATTATTGTATTTTTAGTAGAGATGGGGTTTCATCATGTTGGTCAGGCTGGGATAGATATCTATTTAAGTAAATATATATATACATATATAAAATATATAAATATTTATATATATATAAATAAATATATATATATACACACACATTTTTTTTTAGATGGTCACTCTGTCACCCAGGCTGGAATGCAGTGGCATGATCTTGGCTCAGCGCAATTTCTGCCTCCTGGGTTCAAGCAATTCTCCTGCCTCAGCCTCCTGAGTACCTGGGATTACAGGTGCCTGCCACCACACCTGGCTAATTTTTGTATTTTTAGTAGAGATGGGGTTTCATCATGTTGGCCAGGCTGGTCTCGAACTCCTGACCTTAGGTGATCCGCCTGCCTCGGCCTCCCAAAGTGCTGGGATTACAGGTGTGAGCCACCGTGCCCGGCCCAGGCTGGGATATCTTTTATATCCTGGACTTTAAAGTCACAATTTTACAAAAAGCTCTGCAGATGAGTTTTGAGGATTTGCTGAGTGGGGTGCACTGCCTTCCTCTGAGTTTTGATGGGGGCTCACATGGTTTGGGCACCATCCTGGCCTCACCCCAGCACCCCCTAACCCCCAGAGTGTGGGTGCAAGTGGCACTGACCCAGGAGCCCTGTCCTACCTGGATGTTGATCTCGTTGTGCCGTTCGGTGATCTCCACCATTTCCTGCTCCAGCAGCTTGCGTGAACGCTCGCTGCCCTCCAGGGCAGAACGCACCTCCTCCAGCTCCGTCTGCAGCAGGCTCAGGCGCCGCTCCTGCAGGTTGTACTGCTCCCGCAGCTCCTCATGCTGCCTGGCATCCTCGTCCATCTGGACCTGCAAGTCCTGGGGGGCACAAGGACCCAGCCTGAGCCCATACACTGGGCCATGGTATGACCTTGGGGGTGGCCAGACCTGAGGGCGCCGTGACCTTTATCGACTGGGTTCAGCAGGAAACTGGGCAGGCGGGGACGTCACAGAAGAAGAGTGAGGAACAGACCTGGGCTTGGGGAGCTTATGGTGTGGTGGAGCTCCAGCAGGGCCAGGACCTAGGAAGTTATCTAACATGAGGTCAACGTGAAGTCAAACCTTTCCTGATGATAGAGCACCTGGTGTTCCCAGCACAGCCTTCTCCAGGAGGCCTCCCCAGTGACCTCAGCCAATCATATTCTAATCCTGCCTAGGCTGATCCCCAGCTTTCTTCTGTCCTCTTATTTCTCTTTTTTTTTTTTTTTGAGATGGAGTCTTGCTCTGTCCCCTAGGCTGGAGTGCAATGGCATGATCTTGGCTCCCCTAGGCTGGAGTGCAATGGCATGATCTCAGCTCACTGCAATCTCCGCCTCCCAGGTTCAAGTGAGTCTCCTGCCTCACCTTCCCAAGTAGCTGGGATTACAGGTGCCTGCCACCACACCTGGCTAATTTTTTTATTTTTAGTAGAGATGGGTTTTTGCCATGTTGCTCAGGCTGGTCTCAAACTCCTGACCTCAAGCAATCTGCCCACCTCAGCCTCCCAAAGTGCTGGGATTACAGGCGTGAGCCACTGCGCCCAGGCTATCCTCTTATTTCTCCATAGGACTTATCACCAGTTTTAACAATACAGTTTTATTTTTGTTGCTGTCTGCATGGGGATGTTTGTCTGTTTTGTCCACTCTTTGTTTTGTTTTCGAGACAGAGTCTCACTCTATCACCCAGGCTGGAATGCAGTGGTGTAGTCATAGCTCACAGCAGCCTCCAACTTCTGGGCTCAAGTGATCCTCCCACCTCAGCCTCCTGAGTAGCTGGAACTACAGGCACACACCACCATGCCTGGCTCATTTTATTTTTTGTGGAGATGGGGTCTTGCTATGATGCCCAGACTGGTCACAAACTCAAGCCTGGCCTCAGGCAATCCTTTCTCTTCAGCCTCCTGAGTAGCTGGGACTACATGTGAACACCAACTGTGTCCAGCATTGTCTTGTCCACTCTTGGACACCTAAAACAGTACCTGGTTAGGGCACGTCTCCAGTTAGCAAGTGTGGTTCCAGCTCTGTATGCTGTAAAGAACAGTCTCATAATAGAATGATTGTAAAGGGGTCTTCAGCTCTGTTTGTGTTTATTTTTTAAGGCAAGTAGTGGGTATATGAGTTTTGTTGTGTTCTTCATTTCTCTATGTCTGAAATGGTTTATAATAAGTAAAAAATGATTTTACAAATCAAGACAGGACTGGGTGTGGTGGCTCACGCCTGTAATCCCAGCACTTTGGGAGGCTGAGGTGGGCAGATCACCTGAGGTCAGGCGTTGGAGATTAGCCTGGCCAGCATGGTGAAACCCCGTCTCTATTAAAAATACAAAAATTAGCTGGGCGTGGTGGTGGTCACCTGTAATCCCAGCTGCTCAGGAGGCTGAGGCAGGAGAATTGCTTGAACCCGGGAGGTGGAGGTTGCAGTGAGCCGAGATTGCACCACTGCACTCCAGCCTGAGTGACAAGAGCAAAACTCCATCTCAGGAAGGAAGGAAGGAAGGAAGGAAGGGAGGAAGGGAGGGAGGGAGGGAGGGATCAAGATGAGCTTAACTTCCTGTTTCCCTCCTTTGGTCCATCTTTCCAGTTGTCCAGAATTGGGACTTTTGGTGGTTGAGGGCCTCTTCTTTATATAGTCCCCAAGCCTCCTGCTCCCTGGACTGACAGCCACCCCACATTCTCACTCTTATGCCTTTATGCTGGCTGAAGACATGCATTAAGTTAGCCCCCTTTAGGCCTTCAGACTCAACCGATGATAGTGTGCCTTGTACCTCGTTTCTCCTCCTCCCAGATCGCTACCTTGATTTGCTGTTGCAGCCTTTTCAGTGTCTTTACAAGTTCGCTGTTGTTCTTGTTGGCATGGTCCAGCTGGATTTCCATCTCATTGAGGTCCGTCTCCATCTTCTTCTTGAGCCGAAGTGCCTCTGCCCGGCCCTTGGCCTCTGCCTCCAGGCTGGCCTGCAAGGACTCGATTGCCCGCTGGTGGTTCTTCCTGTAAGTCCAAGCAGAGAAGACCTTGGCATACTGGGCTAGCTGTTCAGTCTGTGCTAGGCCTCCCTAGAGAAGAGGTCTCAGCATCAGCATGAGTCCAGGCACCATGTTGTGAAATTAAACCCTTAAAAAGGTACAAGACAGGGATAAGGGTTTCATGCTTTGGGGAAATTAAAGGAAGGTCATTTTGTTGATTTAGAGTCACTCTCTGGCTCAGGCTGTAATGGAAAAACCATCACATTCTGTGATGGTGTAGTAGTGTGATGATAGCTCACTGCAGCCTTGAACTCTGCGGCTCGAGTGATCTTCCCATCTCAGCCTCCCCAGTAACTGGGACTACAGGCCATGCCACCACACCCAGCGTTTTTTTTTTTTTTTTTTTTTGGTAGAGTGGGGGTTTTGCTGTGTTGCCCAGGCTGGTCTCAAACTCCTGAGCTCAAAGGATCCTCCCATCTCAGCCTTCCAGAGTGCTAGGATTACAGGCGTGAGCCACTGCGCCCAGCCAAAATGAAATAACCTTTATGTTTGAATGGATACCTTTAAGAAAGTGACAAGACAACCCATAGAATGGGAAAAAAATATTTGCAAATCATTACTGATAAGTCTAGTGTTCAGAATATATAAAGAACTCTTACAACTCAACAATAAAAAGAAGCAATCCAATTTTTGAAAGGGGCAAAGAACAGACTTTTCTCCGAAGAAGATATACAAACAGCCAGTAAGCACATAATAGATTCTCTGCTTCATTAACCATCATGGCTAAAATACTACATCTAAAGTGTTCATAGGCCGGGCACGGTGGCTCATGCCTGTAATCCCAGCACTTTGGGAGGCCAAGGTGGGCAGATCACTTGAGGTCAAGAGTTCAAGACCAGCCTGGCCAACATGGCGAAACCCTGTCTCTAGTAAAAATACAAAAATTAGCTTGGCACGGTGGCACATGCCTGTGATCCTAGCTACTTGGGAGGCTAAGGCAGGAGAATTGCTTGAACCCAGGAGGTAGAGGTTGCAGTGAGCTTGGATTGCACTACTACACTGTGGCCTAGGCAACAGAGCAAGACTATGACTCCAAAAGAAAAAAAACCAAAAAAACAAAACCCCCAAAAACAAAGTGTTCATAAACTAGACACAGTAGTGTGAGGTACCGTCTTTATTTCCATTTCATAGATGAGGAAACAGGTTCAGCGAGGTTCACCTGAATTGCCCAATATCATGCAACTAGTAGCTGAAAGAGACCCGGGTTTCTGGACTCTGCTCCATCACGCTGCCCAAGAGTCAGCCTCCCATCCCACCAGCTCTGTACCTGGTAGCCTCAAATTCTTCTTCTTTCTCATGGATTCTCCGGTCGATGTCAGCTTTAACCTGAGCCAGTTCCAATTGAATTCGAATCACTTTGCTCTCTTCAACCTACCAGGAATATAAACATGAGTCTTTCTGGCCAAGAAGGTGTGCAGTGCCTGGCCAAGGGTCCACAGTCCCCAAGGTGATGGCCCTGTGGTTACCTCCAGGGAAGACTCAGCTTCTTCCAGGGCCACCTGGAGTTCTTCCTTTTCCATCTCCAGTTTTTTCTTCAACTTCTGCAGCTCATGCACACTCCTTCCTCCCTCACCCAGCTGATCAATGAGATCCTTTATCTCCTCTGAGATAGAAATATTCATGTTAATAAGACTCAGCATTCCAGGGTTATGGCAGGTGGCACCATCATTCCTCCATTGGGGTAAGAAGCAGGTCTCCCAAAGTGCCAGGATTGCAGACATGAACCATCACGCCTGGCTATAATCTTATTTCATTGTCGTGACAACCTTTTAAGGAGGGTAGAATTATTTCCTCATTTTATTTTATTTATTTATTTATTTTTGGGACATAGTGTTGCTCTATTGCCCAGGCTGGAGTACAGTGGCATGATCTTGGCTCACTGCAACCTCCACATCCTGGGTCCAAGCGATTCTTCGGCCTCAGCCTCCCAAGTAGCTGGGACTACAGGCACCTGCCACCATGCCCAGCTAATTTTTTGTATTTTCAGTAGAGACAGGGTTTTACCATGTTGGTCAGGCTGGTCTCGAACTCCTGACCTCAAGTGATCCTCCTGCCTCGGCCTCCCGAAGTGCTGGGATTACAGGCATGAGCCACCATGCCCAGCTATTTCCTCATTTTATAGATGAGGAAAGTGAGGCACAGAAAGATTGAGCAACTCGCCTAAAGTTATACTGCTGAATGCTGAAGTGCTTCTGCAAAGCACTTGCTAGTCAGTCAACAAACATTTATTGAGCACCTACTATGTGCCAGGTACTCAACTGATGATGTGCTCAGGACGAAGGGGACTCTGGCTGTGTCCCCATCCCTACAGGCCCATCCCGTCCACCTGCCCTCAGACTCACCCTGCAGGGTCTTATTCTCCTTCTTCACGGACTCTAGATGCTCCAGAGACTCCTCGTAGGCAGTCTTGATCTTGAAGCTCTCCGTCATGTACATGCGGCACTCCTTCTGTGAGTTATCCAGTTCCACCTGCAGCTCCTCACACTTCTGCTGCCACTCAGCCAGCATCTTGTCAAAGAGCCTCTGCTTCTTGTCCAGGGCAGCGGCTGCCGCATTGGCCTAAGGAAAGTTGGAAATGGCCTCTAGGGGTCCGAACTCCCTGCCTCTGTCCCCTCCTCCCACCCCCCACCAACCTCTCTTCCTTCCTTCCCTTTCTCCAGTAACTCCTGAGACTACGGACTCCTTGGGAATTGGAATGTAATTCAACACCTATGGCAGAAGCACAGAACAGAGAGTCTGCAAAGAGCTGCATGCCAGTTCTAAAACTACCCCCCCCCACCAAGAGGTGTGTGACCTGGGGCGTTCCACCTTATTTTCCCAGGTTAGAATTCTCTCAGGTGTCAAATGAGGAGTTTGGGCCACAGCGGCCTTCCCAGATTTATGACATTTGGCCTAACTCCTCTTGATATATTTCACTGTAATGTAGTAATATACATTACACATAAACTCAAAACAGACTATTCTTAGACTTTATTTTTCTATAGAGTTCATCTTTCTCATAACTCCCTGGCAACTATTTGCTGTTGTGCTATATTAGCTTTTGTAAAGTTTTGCTTTGTTTCTTTTGTGGGGTAGCAAAACCTTTTTGAGTTTCAGGACTTTTTTTTTTTTTTTTTAATTGAGACAGAGTCTCACTCTGTCACCCAGGCTGGAGTGCAGTGGCGTGATCTCGGCTCACCGCAACCTCTGTCTTCTGGGTTCAAGCGATTCTCCTGCCTCAGCCTCCTGAGTAGTTGGGACTACACAGGCATGTGCCACCACACCCGGCTACTTTTTGTATTTTTAGTAGAGATGAGGTTTCACCATGTTGGCCAGGCTGGTCTCAAACTCCTGACCTCAGGTGATCTGCCCGCCTCAGCTTCCCAAAGTGCTAAGATTACAGGCATGGGCCACAGTGCCCAACCTTTTTTTTTGTTTCAAGAGATGAGGTCTCACTCTGTCACCCAGACTGGAGTACAGTGGCATAATCATAGCTAACTGTAGCCTCAGCCTCTTGGACTTAAGCAATCTTCCTACCTCAGCCTCCGGGATAGAGGGGACTACAGGCATGTGCCACCACACCCGGCTACTTTTTGTATTTTTAGTAGAGATGAGGTTTCACCATGTTGGCCAGGCTGGTCTCAAACTCCTGACCTCAGGTGATCTGCCCGCCTCAGCTTCCCAAAGTGCTAAGATTACAGGCATGGGCCACAGTGCCCAACCTTTTTTTTTTGTTTCAAGAGATGAGGTCTCACTCTGTCACCCAGACTGGAGTACAGTGGCATAATCATAGCTAACTGTAGCCTCAGCCTCTTGGACTTAAGCAATCTTCCTACCTCAGCCTCCCAAAGTCCTGGGATGACAAGGGTGAACCACCTTGCCAGAACTTTTTTTCTGAAACCTCTCATATGGATGTGACCTTCTACCTATGAGGCCACTTCATGCGGCACATTCTTGTACTGGGCTGCATATGGCCCCTCACAGCCAGCATGAATCATGGTTCCATCTAGACCAAGACCAGGGAGGTGTAGGCCAGTGGAAATCTTATTTAATTCTCATAGACACTGGCAACTCAGTTTGAACCAGGGATGCAAGTAGGAATAGTTAGCCACGCAAAGTATATGGGATACAGTTTGTGGAAGAGAGAGGGGAACAGGGAAGGTGCATCATGTAACTTGCTTTTTTTTTTTTTGGAGCCAGAATCTTGCTCTGTCGCCCAGGCTAGAGGGCAGTGGCACGATCTGGCTCACTGCAACGTCCGCCTCCTGGGTTCAAGCGATTCTCCTGCCTCAGCCTCCCGAGTAGCTGGGACTACAGGTGCCTGCTGCCACGCCTGGCTAATTTTTTGTATTTTAGTACAGACAGGGTTTCGCCATGTTGCCCAGGCTGGTGTCGAACTCCTGAACTCAGGCAATCCGCCTGCCTCGGCCTCCCAAAGTGCTAGAATTACAGGCATGAGCCACTGTGCCCGGCTGCATCGTGTAACTTTCAGGGCAAATTTTACCCTGCTTATGGCCCTATTTGTTTATTGAGACAGTGTCTTACTCTGTCTGCCAGGCTGGAGTGCAGCAGTGCAAGCATAGCTCACTGCAGCCTTGAACACCTGGTTCAAATGATCCTCATGCCTTAGCCTGCCAAGTAGCTGGGACCACAGGCATATGCCACCGCACCTGGCTAAATTTTTATTTTAAAAATTTTGGGGGACTGGGCACAGTGGCTCACACCTGTAATCCCGGCACTTTGGGAGACCGAGGCGGGTGGATCACCTGAGGTCAGGAGTTCGAGACCAGCCTGGTCAACATGATGAAACCTCGCCTCTACTAAAAATACAAAAAATTAGCTGGGCGCGTTGACGGGTACCTGTAATCCCAGCTTCTCAGGAGGCTGAGGAATGAGAATTGCTTGAACCCAGGAGGCGGAGGTTGCAGTGAGCCAATATTGCGCCACTATACTCCAGCCTGGGCAACAAGAGCCAAACTCCATCTCTTTTTTTTTTCTTTTGAGATAGGGTCTCCCTGTGTTGTTCGGCTGGTCTTGAACTCCTTGGCTCAAGTGATCCTCCTGCCTTGGCCGCCCAGTGTGTTGGGATTAGAGGCATGGGTCACTGTGCTCTTAGATCTCGGAAGAGTTCATGAACGCGTGCTCAAGCGGCAGCCGTGTCCAGCAAGCTCCTGAAGGCACCCCTGCGCTGCAACTTCTTGAACCATGTGTTTCTTCCTGATGACCCCAGACGTGTGACAGCCTTGCCCTCGCCCTGCTGTGGGCTCTCTGCCCCGGTAAATAGGCAGCTTTAAGCATTTGACCCTCTGACCTTCTCCAAGTCGATGGTGAGGTCCTCAACTTCTGCCTGGAGTCTCTGTTTATTTTTCTCGAGGGAGGCGGCCCGGGCCTGGGCGGTTTCAGCTGCTTCTTCTGCCTCCTGAAGCCTGGCGGCCAGCTTCCTCCTGCAAATGAGGGCCAGAGGGGCTGTCAAGGAAACCCAGGCGCTCACAGGCACCACCTCCACATTGCCAGGGTCAGAGTGTGGTGGGCATGGTACTAAGCTCTGGTGTCAACATTGGAAACGATGCAGAGTGTTTACAGGACAGCCACAGCTGCCCATTCACTCTCTCATTTATTCATTCAACAAACACTTTCTCTACTCTGGGCCAAGGATTGTTGCAGGTGTTAGGGATGCAGCACTGAATAAAACAGGCTAGGATACCTGCCCTAACAAATGAAATGTTTGTTCTGGAGCTGGGACGGGGCACGCAATACATGCCCTATAGAACATAAGCACTGCAGTGACAAATAGAGCCAGGAAGAGGACAGGTAGTCCAGGTGGGAGGGGGTGATAGTGTCAAATACAGACTCAGGGGAGACTCTCTGAGAAGGGGACACAGGAGCAAAGGTCTAAGCCAGGGGATGGAGGGGCCCTGAGGGTGTCTGGGACAGAGACAAGCTTAGGGGTTGAGATTTAGGTTTAGCCCAGGAGTGGGAGCCTTGGGGGAACACTAGGCAGTACCCAGCAGCCTCTATAGCAAAGACCTGGAGGACAGAGGTGGAAGTCACAGGAAGGCAAATTTAGGCTCAAGGTAAAAAAGAGCTTAGAGCTTTAGATGAAAGTATTGCATCAGCTGGAAGTCACTATGCCTTATTTGCTATCATATTAGCAGAAATTTCAGTGGATGGACGGGACCAGCCAGCAGGCTGGGATCCCGGAAACACTTAGAGCACATGTGCCATTTTCTGTCTAATTTGGCTTTATACAAGAAAAAATCTGATTATATTTTCAGAGAATCCAGAAAAGTCTATAGAGGAGTTTGTTGACCATGTTCTTTGATTTAACTTGTCATGGATCCCCTCTGCTTCCTGACCCAGGGTGGCTCACTCACAGGGCTTCCCTGAGTGCATGGGCCCAGAGGCATCCAGGCCAGCCTCCTTTTACACCAGAGAGAGGCCCACTTCCATGTCCCTCCTTATTTCCTCAGGTGTCCACTTCTGTAGTTTTTTTTTTTTTTTTTTTTAGAGACAGGATCCTTCTCTGTTATCCAGGCTGAAGTGCAGTGGCTCGATCATTGCTCACTGCAGCCTCCAATTCCTGGGCTCAAGCAATCCTCCCACTTTAGTCTCCCAAGTAGCTGAGACTACAGGCACATGCCACCATGCCTGGCTAATTTTGTAATTTTTTGTAGAGATGAGGATCTCACCATGTTGCCCTGGCTGGCCTCGAACTTCTGGGCTCAAGCAATCCTCCCACCTTGGCCTCCCACAGTGCTGGGATTACAGGCCTGAGCCACCATTTCTGGCCCACAGAGCAGGCTCCTTTGTCCACACACATTGTCCTCCTCTTAAAGGAGCCTGTGAACGTCCTTCTCCTGGGCTTGGCCCTGGCCGTAGCAGTGATTGACATGGTGGTGAGGCCCCCACTGCCACCTGCCCAGCCCACCTGGCTCTCCCAGCAGGAGGACCACACTCACTTGGTCTCCTCCAGCTCCTCTGTCCTCTGGATGGCATCGGTCTCGTATTTGGTCCTCCAGGTGGTGACCTCGGTGTTGAGTTTGGATACAAGGCGCTGCAGCTCCGACTTGCCTCCCTGCTCCTCCTCCAGCTGCTCCTTTACTAGGTCCAGGTCGTGTTTGGTGTTGGCCAGGCTCACCACGGCGGTGCTGCGAGACTGTGGGGACCCGCGTGTCAGGGGCCGTGGGGGCTTTCCGCAGCCCACAGGGCCACCACTTAGATACACATAACACTGGAGCAGCAGTGATGGCAGGTGAAAGGGGGAAAAGATACACAGTCCCACAATCCAAACCACTGGGGTTTTAATTTTCATCCTGTGACTTCTTCTCATTCTATTATTGTCCACAAGGATATGTAATTTCATTTAGTTGTACACATCACATCCTACAGTTTTGTAGTTAGCTTTTTTACTTGCTACGATATCAAATGCTTTTTGTGCTCCTTTGACATCTTCATAATCTGTAACTTTCTTTAGCTGGGACTATAGGTGTACACCACCATACCTGGAAACTTTTTTCTTTTTTCTGAGACTGAGTTTCGCTCTTGTCACCCAGGCTGGAGTGCAATGGTGCGATCTCAGCTCCCTGCAACCTCCGCCTCCGCCTGTCTCAGCCTCCCGAGTAGCTGGGATTACAGACACTCACCACCACACCCAGCTAATTTTTATATTTTTAGTGGAGACCGGGTTTTGCCATGTTGGCCAGACTGGTCTCGAACTCCTGACCTCAGCTGATCCACCCACCCTCGCCTCTCAAAGTGCTGGGATTACAGGCGTGAGCCACCACGCCCAGCCAACTTTTTTATTTTTTATTTTGGTAGAGATGGGGTTAGTGGGGGTTGGGGGGGGTCTTGCTGTGTTGTTCAGGCTGGTCTTGAACTCCTGGCCTTAAGCGAACCTCCCACCTAGGCCTCCCAAAGTGCTGGGATTACAGCCATGCGCCACCAAACCCAGCTGTAACCTGTAACTTTAAGGAGGCAGCTGTCTCCACCACGACCCCACCCCCAAACCAACCTTTGACTCTTCATCCAGCTGCCTCTTGTAATCATCCACTTGTGACGTCAGAGATGTCTTTATCCGTAGGATTTGATTGAGCCGGCTCTGGGACTCCTCATATTCCCTGCTCAGTTCACTATTTTCAGCTGGGTGAGAAGGGAATGGAAGAAATATTGGATGAAGAACTGGTTCCCCAGCCAGATCCTAAGTTCCCCAGGGCATTGCTCCTAAAGTACCCAATAAATATGGTGACTTGGCCAATGGAACTGGAATGGGTAGCATGGTGGATCACCACTCTAGCCTCCAAATTAAGTGAGCCCAGGAGAAAGACAAGTGCTCAAGGGTTACCAAGATCCAGGTAACCTGCATGGACTTAGGGGCCTCACATAATGAAACCCCCATCTCCTACATGTCAGGAGATGCAGTGGAGGAGTTTGGAGAAACAGTGGGACAGAGACTATTTCCTTTGTAAAACGTATTTGTCACCATTCCAGAACCTACACTCCTGTCAATTGTGGGATGATCACTGGAGCCAGAGGCCAGGAAGAAGTTCATGAGCCCGAGAGAAAAAGCAAGGATTTCCAGTTCTACCCTGTAAGTCACTGAGCTTACTGAGCTTCACTTTTCTTATCCATCAAGTGGGGATATTGATATATTTTTTTTTTTTTTGAGACGGAGTCTCGCTCTGTCACCCATGCTGGAGCGCAGTGGCGTGATCTCGGCTCACTGCAAGCTCTGCCTCCTGGGTTCACACCATTCTCCTGCCTCAGCCTCCTGAGTCACTGGGAGTACAGACGCCCACCACCACACCCGGCTAATTTTTTGTATTTTTTTTTTTAGTAGAGACGGGGTTTCACCGTGTTAGCTAGGATGGTTTCGATCTCCTGACCTCGTGATCTGCCCACCTCGGCCTCCCAAAGTGCTGGGATTACAGGTGTGAGCCACCGCGCCCAGCCTTTTTTTTTTTTTTTTTTTTTTGAGACTGAGTTTCACTCTTGTCACCCAGGCTGGAGTGCAGTGGCGTGCTCTCGGCTCACTGCCACCTCTGCCATCCGAGTTCAAGTGATTCTCCTACCTCAGCATCCCAAGTAACTGGGATTACAAGCATGTACCACCACGCCCAGCTAATTTTTTTTTGTATTTTTAGTAGAGACCTGGTTTCACCACATTGGCCAGGCTGATCTCAAACTCCTGACCTCAAGTGATCTGCCCACCTCGGCCTCCGAAAGTGCTGGGATTACAGGCACGAGCCACTGCGCACAGCCTGATATTGATTTTTTTTTTTTTTTTTTTTGAAGTAGAGTCCTGCTGTGTTGCCCAGGCTGGAGTGCAGTGGCACAATCATAGCTCATCGCAACCTTGAACTCCTGGGCTCAAGCGATCCTCCTGCCTCAGCCTCCCAAGTAGCTGGGACCACCAGTGTGCGCCACCACACCCAGCTATTTAAAAAAATTGTTTTGTAGAGATAGGGTTCTTGCTATGTTGCCCAGGCTGTTCTCAAACTCCTGGCCTCAAGTAATCCTCCCGCTTTGGCCTCCCAAAGTGCTGGAATTACAAGTGTGAGCCACCGCACCCAGCCAGGATATTGTCAAAGAATTCCAAACGTGAGAAATAAGGCGAAAGGGTGCCTGCAAGTTCTCTTGATGTTACACCGGAGCACTAACAGGCCCACCTGCAGACTATTTAGTTCTCTACGGAAATGTGCCTTTGTTTGACTTACTGTTTACCCCTGTGTTATTAGAGCACAGCTTCTGCAAAGTTAGAAATCGACTTATACATTGATAAATTGCCAATTATTTTTGTTACAGAGATGCAAAGATGCATTTCTATGACAAAGGTGTGTTTCTTCCGGCAGGGGGGAAAACAAACCCTAAACTAAACCTGAGGTTACAGTATTATTGTCCTATAGGATATTAACTAGTTCTGCATCTAACTCAGCAAAGTTATTTTAGCATTTCTTTTCCCAGCTGAAATCTCTGCCTTTCAAATGCTCTTTGAAGGCAGTTTTACCATTTTTTCTGGTTCCCTCATTAAGGAGTTAAATAAACCCTTGACACATGTTCGCTTTCTATTGGTATGTGGGTCATGTTTAAAAATGTTTGAAAATTGTATTTTGTCAGCATGAATGCCTCTCCTGCTGATCTCACCGGGAAGGTGAGAGAACGGATACGAAAATGCATTGAATTGTGTTCCCTGTTTTGCATTGTAAAGATGTTACTTGGAATATTCAGCAGGTGGAATAAAATCTCCTCGTCTCATCACGAGGGGTTTGGATGGGAATCTTCCAAGGCCAAGAAAGCTCTGTTTCCTTGAGCATCCCAGTTCCTTTCCATGCACTGCTCCTTAGCAAGCTTCAGGGCGGAGAGGGCTCACCTTGGAGGCGGGTCCTGATGGCATTGATTTCTGCCTGGTTTCGCTCTAGCTCTGCCACCTTCGCATTGGCTTCTGATAAGCTGTCTTCCAGCTTTCTGACGTGGGCCTCGGCATTCATCTGCTCAGGAAGGATGAACTCAGTGGGGAAGTTGCAGGTGGGGGAGGCCAAGCCCTCCCTACTTCCCCATTAATTTTTGCCCTGTTCCTCCTGTGTGCCTCCCAGGCTACCTGCCTAGTCCTTCTAGAATGCCCCTGTCTCAGAAACCCCAAATGGCTCACCATTGCCTTTTCTTTTCTTTTCTTTTCTTTTTTTTTTTTTTTGAGACAGGGTATCACTCTATCACCCAGGCTGGAGTGCGTAGATGCAATCATAGCTCACTGTAGCCTTGACATCCTAGGCTCAAGCCATCCTCTCACCACAGCCTCCTGAGTAACTGGGACCACAGGTGCATGCCACCATACCTGGCTAATTATTTTTATTTTGTGTAGAGACAAGGTTTCAATGCGTTGCCCAGGCTGGTCTTGAACTGGGCTCAAGTGATCTGCCTGCCTTAGCCTCTCAAAGTGCTGGGATTACAGGCATTAGCCACTGTGCCTGGCCTACTGAGCATTTCTTATGTGCCAGAAACTATTGCAGCCCTCACAATAGCACTCTAAGGTGGGGATTATGACAATTGTCTTCATGTTATAGATGAAGAAATTGAAGCACAGGTTATTTTTATTTTTTGAGACAGAGTCTCGCACTGTCGCCCGGGCTGGAGTGCAGTGGCACAATCTCGGCTCACTGCAACCTCTGCCTCCCAGGTTTAAGCAATTTTTGTATTTTTAGTAGAGACAGGGTTTCAGCATGTTGGCCAGGCTGGTCTCGAACTCCTGACCTCAGGAAATCCGCTTGCCTTAGTCTCCCAAAGTGCTGGGATTACAGGCGTAAGCCATTGTGACCGGCAGGTTATTTTATTTTATTTTATTTTAGAGACAGGGTCTCGCTCTGTTGCCCAGGCTGGAGTGCAGTGGCGCAATGATATTCATTTCACTGCAGTCTTAACCTCCTGGGCTCAAGCAATCCTCCTGCCTCAGCCTCCTGAGTAGCTAGGACTATAGGCGCATGCTCCCATCCCTGGGTAATTTTGTTTTTTGAAGAGATGAGGTCTGGCTATGTTGTCCAGGTTGGTCCCCAACTCCTGGCCTCTCAAAAGCGATCCTCCTGCCTCAGCCTCCCAAAGTGCTGGGATTACAGGAGTGAGCCACTGTGCCCGGCCTACAGTTAGGTTATTCACCTTGGACTTCTGTATCGTCTCCACACTGGCACTGAGGTCGTCAATCTCGGCCTTCATGACCTGTTTATCCTTCTCCAACTTGGACTTGACCCTCTGCAGGCTCTCCACATGCTCTGTCAGCTCGGCCATGGAGTCCATGTGCTTCTTGCGCAGTGTGGAGGCCGTCGCCTCACTCTGCAGGGCGGCCTCTTCCAGCTCCCGCCGCAGCTTCAGCAGCTCAGCCTCCCGCTTGCGGTTCTGCTCGATCTGGGGTAGAAGAGGAGCGGCTTAGCAGAAATGGCCAGTGCCAGCCTTTTTGGGGTGGACACCGCCCAGCTGCTCGGTGGTTCCCTGATTTTCCCGCACCTCGCTAAAAGAAGTCCTGCTTGAAATGCCAATGCTTAGCCTTTGGGGGGCGGGGGTTGCCCACAGGAATTGTTTAGGGAGTGTTGTGTGTTAAATTGTACCCTCCAAAAAGATATACTCAAGTCCTAACCGTGGGTACCTGTGAATGGGACCTGATTTGGAAATAGCGTCTTTGCAGAGGGAGCTAGTTAAGATGTCATACTGGATTAGGGTGGGCCCTAAGCTAACGACTGATGTCCTTTTTGTTTTGTTTTGTTTTTTGTTTTTTGTTTTTGAGAAGCAGTTTCACTCTTGTTGCCCAGGCTGTAGTGCAGTGGCATGATCTCGGCTTGCTGCAACCTCCGCCTCCTGGGTTCAAGTGATTCTCCTGCCTCAGCCTCCCAAGTAACTGGGATTACAGGTGCCTGTCACCATGCCCAGCTAATTTTTTGTGTTTTTAGTAGAGATGGGGTTTCACCATGTTGACCAGGCTGGTCTCGAACTCCTGACCTCAGGTGATCCACCTGGCTCAGCCTCCCAAAGTGTTGGGAGTACAGGCGTGAGCCACCGCACCTGGCTGGGCTCTCAGATTTCTACTCACTATATTCCTGCCCTAATCACTCCAGGTCCAGGTACCGACAACTAGGATCAGCTCCACAGTCCACTGAGACTGTCCAGACTGGCCAGTCAGGAGCCTGTTCACCCTGTTTCACCTGTTCCTTCCCATGGGAGCCAGAGTAAAGGCCTGTGCCTACATTTCTCCCCGGCCATCTGCCTCCTAACCAGCCTCAGTGCCTCTCTCTGGCCCTGCGTGGCCTGCTATGCCCTGGCTTCTTGGGAACTGTGAGTAGCAAACTCTTTCTGTTTGTTTTCAAGAGACAGGGTCTTGCTCTGTCACCCAGGCTGGAATGCAGTGGTGCCATCATGGCTCACCACAGCCTCAACCTCCCTGGGCTCAAGTGATCCTCCTTCTTTAGCCTCTTGAGTATCTGGAACTACAGGAATGTGCCACCATGCCCAGCTACCTTTTTTTTTCTTTTTGAGAGACGGGCTTTTGCTGTGTTGCCCAGGCTGGTCAGAAACCCCTGGGCTCAAGTGAGCCTTCTGCCTTTGCCTCCCCAGGTGTTGGGATTACAGGCGTGAGCCACTGCTCCAGGCCTCATTTTTAAATTATTAATTGGTTTCTCCTCAAGTCTGTCTCAGGAACCTAGCAAGAATGAACTGGTCTTGATCCCACTGCTTACAGTCCGGCATTTTTTCTCCCTACATGCAGGCAGGGCTGGGGGTTTCTGGGCCCCCTGGGATGGGTACCTGAGCCGATGTGGCTCCACCTGCTTCCTCCAGCCTGTCACTGAGGTCTTCGAGATCCCGGGACAGGTCACTGCGTTGTTTCTCCACCTGGGATGAAAATTTTTGTTTTGAGATAGAGCCTTCCTCTGTGGCCCAGGCTGGAGTGCAGCAGCACCATCTTGACTCACTGCAACCTTCACCTGCCTTGCTCAAACAGTCCTCTAACCTCACCTCCCAAGTATCTGCGACTACAGACACGTGTCATCACACCCAGCTAATTTTTAAAGTTTTTGTTGAGATGGGTTTTCACCATGTTGCCCAGGCTGGTCTCCTGGTCTCAACTGATCCTCCTGCCTTGATCTCCCAAGGTATCTGGATTACAGGCATGAGCCACTGTGCCTGGCCATGGGATGAGATTTAATGATACCAGTGATAATCACCCAGAGCTCCTTTTTCTCCAGTAAAGAGCATGATGACTGCTTCACCTTTGAGAAGCAAGGATTCTGTGCCTGGGGGCCTTGTGCCCTGCCTGTCATCAGTGAAGGACACTGTCTTCCCCACACTGGGTGGGCATTAGTGCCCGTCCTACCCACCACCTGTCCAATTTGGCTGAATTTGGGATTAGGTACACTGTGATTTGTCTCCCACCAGCTTTCTGGGCTCATGCCGTGTAGGATCCCCACCCTCAAGCCTCCCTCCATGCTCTGCTCTTGCGAACACGTGCTTTCTCTGTTTACACTTTCATCCCAATGAAGGTAGGTGCTATTTTACTCCCTTTGCCCAGCCCTTCCTCCCTGCGTCTACCTGTTGAATTCTATCTTTGAGGTCAAGTGTTCCCTCCCCCATCTCTCCCGGGTAGAACCAGCCTCTTCTCCTCTGGACTCAAGCCACACAAAGCATCTGCCTTTCACGTAATGATTAATGTGAATGTGCAGTTCAGTCCCTGGCACACAGCAGGTGCTCAAGAAGCAACTAGACTTTTTAACTGGACACCTGCCTTCTCTACTGGTTTTCTTAGAGGAGGTTTCTATCCATGGTTGGATGTATGGCTGCCGTTACGTCTTTTGACTCAAGAAGGGGAAACATATTTCATTTACCTTGGCTCTCATGGCCCTCTCAGCTTCTAATTCTTCCTCCAGCTCTTCAATTCGGGCCTAGCAGACAGAGAAGGGAGGGGATTCATCTCTCCCAGGCAAAGTTAGTAAGTTAGCCCCTTAGCCTTTTAGGACGGAAAATAGGGATGTGAGAATATGAGAGCCACTGTCAAAAGCAGAGAGAGGCAGATCCCAGAGAGCACACGCAAAGGCCCCGGGGCAGGCAGGAGGGGGCCTGGCATGCGTGACACCCAGCCAGGAGCCAGCATGGCTGGATAGAGTGGAGGGAAACACTTGGTAATGAGGTCAGGCGGGGAGCAGTTGGAGGGCCTCATAACCATGGTAGGGACTTTGGATTTCACCCCTAGTGAGGGGAACATGGGTCGATCTCCAAGGACTCTATGGCACTCTCGTTCCTCAGGAAACCTCAGCCACCAAGTAGCTGATGCGAACAAGGGGTTCAGAGAAGTGCATTTCTGACAGAGAGCTCATGCTTCTTGGTCCTAGACATACCTGGTGCTCCTTCAGTTTCCTCTGCAGCGTGGAATTCAGAGACTGCTCATCCTCATATTTCGAGTTGACAGAGTTTATTTCCAAATCCCTCCTGCAAGGGAAGGGTTGGTCTCCTGAGGAAAGGCTCTGAGGGCAGACCAGCGAGCTGGTGAGGGAATGGCGCCTGGGCTGCCAGAGGAGGCCTTGAACCTGCCGAAACGCACGCACTTCCCAGCCCCTTCTGGCCTTCTGTGGTGACAGCCCAGAAGGTCTCACGCTACAGAACAGTTAGACCCCTGAATGAGCTCCTCAAGCATTTCATCATTCATTCATTCATTCACACATTTACTAATGTGACACTTTTTTTTTGAGACAGGGTGTTGCTCTGTCACCCAGAATGCAGTGCAGTGGTATGATCATGGCTCACTGCAGCCTTGACCTCCTGGGCTTATGTGATCCTCCCACCTCAGCCTCTCTAGTAGCTGGGGCCACAGGCTGGCTCAATCGTGCCCAGTTAATTTTTGTATTTTTTGTAGAGACAAGGTCTTGCTACATTGCCCAGGCTGGTCTTGAGCTCCTGGCCTCAAAGCCATCCTCCCGCCTTGGCCTCCCAAAGTGCTGCGATTACAGGCATGAGCCACCGTACCCGACCTGGTCACAGGCTTTTATGATGCCTCCCTGCCTTGCTGAGTCCTCAGTGTTCCCTGGGATAGTGGTGCTCGCCTCCTCTCCAGTGCCCACCAGGTATTGTGTGACGTTGAGTGTTGCCTGTGGACAGGGCAGCCCCTACCTCTCTGCATATCTTCCATGCCTGGCAGGTGCTTGGGACATGCATGAATGTATGTGAGGCCCTCCGTACAGTGACTGGCTCCTGGCGCCCTCCAGGCAGCTCCAGCTATTGCTACAATTGTGACGGACAGAACGAATGAACGACAAGACATACTTTTTCACCACCTCCTCGAGATCCAGCTTGGAACGCTCCATCTCATTGAGGTTGTCAATGGTCATCTTCAGGTCACTCTCAGCTTTGCGACGAGCCTTTTCCACCTCCGCCCGGATTTTCTTTTCCTGCTCCCAGTTATCCTCCAGCTACGGAGACAAGAACAGCAAGAGAAGGTAGACGAGGAGAGACTGAGGTCAGAAGGCAAGAAGGAACCAGACTGGGTCCGATCCTTTAGCTGTGGCATCAGAAGGGCCCTCACGCCCTGGGGGATGTGTTGGTTCAGTTCTTAAAACTTATCTTCGGACCCTGTGCCCCCAGAGGGATCTGGCCTTGGAGTTGTAAAGGCGGCCATGGCAACGGGTATTACCTCGTGGATCTGCGTGCTCAGCTTGCTGTTATTCTTGGTCAGGTGGTTCACCTTGTCCTCCTCAGCCTGTAGGTCATCCAGGGTTTTCTAGAAGGACAGATACACACGTGAGTGCCATGCAGCCCAGTGGGAGCAGCTGAACAGTCCTGATCCTCAGCCATCACTTCTGAGCCGTGCAGCTCCCAGGCTTTGGGGAGTTCAGTTGACTTTAGCGAGTAGGTACTGAGCACCTGCTCCTGGGTGTGGGTGAGGCCCGAGCAGATGGACCAGAGCCACCCATCAGGGAGGTCAATTGCTTGAACCAGGAAAGTTGAGGCTGCAGTGAACTATGATCATACTACTGCACTCCAGCCTGGGTGACAGAGTCAGACCCTGTCTCTACAAAAAATGCAAAAATTAGCCAGGTGTGGTGGCACACGTCTGTAGTGCCAGCTACTCAGGAGACTGAGGCAGGACGATCACGAGCCCAGCAGGTTGGGGCTGCAGTGAGCTATGATGGCACCACTGCATTTCAGCCTGAGCAACAGTGGGACCCTATCTCTGGTTCCCCAGGGGGCATATGGGAAATAGGTGGGGTGCTTTTGGTTATCACAGTGATTGGAGGCCCCTCTGACATTTAGTGGATGACTCCAGCGATGCTGGACATCCCATTTTGCTCTGGACCATCTGGTACCATGAAGAAGAATTCTCTAGAACACATTCCTGATGTCCCACCCAGGCACTCACGTCAGTAAAACAACCATTTCTACTCTTCTAAACCTAGAGCCTAGCACCCTTTTACATGTAACTCAATGTTCTTTTTCATTTCATATGCACTATAATTTTTGTTTTTTTGAGATAGGATCTCACTCCATCACTCAGACTGGAGTACGGTGGTACGATCATAGCTAACTGCAGCCTCCACCTCTTGGGCTCAAGCAACCCTCTTGCCTCAGCCTCCTGGCTAATTTTTTTTTCTAGTTTTTGTAGAAACAGGGTCTTGCTGTGTTGCCCAGGCTGGTCTTGAACTCCTGGGCTCAAGCAATCCTTCTGCCTCAGCCTCCCAAGTAGCTGGGACTAGAGGCGCACGCCAGCACACCTGGCTAATTTTTTATATTTTGTAGAAACAGGGTCTTGCTGTGTTGCCCAGGCTGGTCTTGAACTCCTGGGCTCAAGCAATCCTTCTGCCTCAGCCTCCCAAGTAGCTGGGACTAGAGGCACACGCCAGCACACCTGGCTAATTTTTAAATTTTTTGTAGAGGCAAGGTCTTGCTATGTTTCCCAGGCTGGTCTCAAACTCCTAGGCTCAAGTGATCCTCCTGGCTCAGTGATCCTCCTGTAATCCTCATGCTAAGATTACAGGGATGATCCACGGCCTGCAATGGCCTGTACTACATTTTATTTTATTTTTATTTATTTATTTATTTTGAGACAGGGTCTCGCTCTGTTGCCCAGGCTGGAGTGCAGTGGCGTGGCCCACTGCAACCTCTACCTCCTAGGTTCAAGCAATTCTCATACCTCAGCCTCCTGAGTGGCTGGGACTACAGCTGTGTGCCACCACACCTGGCTAATTTTTGTATTTTTAGTAGAGATGGGGTTTCACCATGTTGGCCAGGCTGGTCTCAAACTCCTGACCTCAGGTGATCTGCCCGCCTCAGCTTCCCAAAGTGCTGAGATTACAGGCATGGGCCACAGTGCCCGGCCTATTTGTAGATTCTCTATTTGTCCATTTACCCACTCCCCAAAACATATTTGCAATCCAAAATCACTACTCGCAACACTTTCTCATGGTTATTTGCAAACACGCATGTGGGGTGGGGAGAAACTTTGATGCGCACATTCTCTGCTGAGGTTGAACAAAGTGACACTCTGCCTTTTTGTTTCAGCCTCATACTGTAAACAAATGTCATTTTTATGCTGTATTTAATGCCATGGCTTTTTTTACTTTTTTTTTTTTTTATGGGGGGTTTTGCTGCTTAAAATGACCCCCAAGCACAGTGCTGAAGGGCTGCTGAGTGTCCCTAAGTGCAAGAGGGCTGTGATGTGTGTGAGAGAAGCTTCATTCAGATGCAAGGTATAGTGCTGCTGGCCCTAAGTTCAGTGTGAACGAATCAACAATTTAAATAAGACATACATAACAAAGTAATGTATTGACCATAGTTGCATGAATTATGTATTGATAGATTGATGAAAATGTTGGTGGGGCATGCGGTGGCTCATGCCTGCAATCCCAGCACTTTGGGAGGCCGAGGCAGGAGGATGACTTGAGCCCAGGAATTCAAGACCAGCCTGGGCAACATGATGAAACCCTACACGAAATACAAAAATTGGCTGGGCGTGGTGGCTCACACCTATAATCCCAGCACTTTGGGAGACTGAGGCAGGTGGATCACGAGGTCAGGAGTTTGAGACCAGCTTGGCCAACATAGTGAAAGCCCTTCTCTACTAAAAACACAAAAAAATT